CCTTACTATACTATGACGTTGTTATGAATTTTTATGCCTCATTATCTAATGTTTTTATGACTTTTTATGCCTTATTATATTGACTTTTTATGCCTTACTATACTATGACGTTTTTATGACTTTTTATGCCTTACTATATTATGTTTTATGCCTTACTATACTATGACGTTTTTATGAATTTTTATGCCTTATTATACAATGTTTTTATGACTTTTTATGCCTTACTATACTGACTTTTTATGCCTTACTATACTATGACGTTTTTATGACTTTTTATGCCTTACTATACTATGACTTTTTATGCCTTAGTATACTATGACGTTTTTATGACTTTTTATGCCTTACTATACTATGACTTTTTATGCCTTATTATACTATGACGTTTTTATGACTTTTTATGGCTGACTATACTGACTTTTTATGCCTTACTATACCATGACATTTTTATGACTTTTTATGCCTTACTATACTGACTTTTTATGCCTTACTATCCCATGACATTTTTATGACTTTTTATGCCTTACTATACTGACTTTTTATGCCTTACTATCCCATGACATTTTTATGACTTTTTATGCCTTACTATACTGACTTTTTATGCCTTACTATCCCATGACATTTTTATGACTTTTTATGCCTTACTATACTGACTTTTTATGCCTTACTATCCCATGACATTTTTATGACTTTTTATGCCTTACTATACTGACTTTTTATGCCTTACTATCCCATGACATTTTTATGACTTTTTATGCCTTACTATACTGACTTTTTATGCCTTACTATCCCATGACATTTTTATGACTTTTTATGCCTTACTATACTGACTTTTTATGCCTTACTATCCCATGACATTTTTATGACTTTTTATGCCTTACTATACTGACTTTTTATGCCTTACTATCCCATGACATTTTTATGACTTTTTATGTCTTACTATAATATGTCGTTTTCATGATATTTTACGCCTTACTATAGTATAACATTATGACATACGATACTATGGTTTTCTCATTCCTTATTATACTCAATTTGTCATGACATACTATGACTTTTTTATGCCTTATCCTACTCAACATTTTTATCTTTCTATACTACAACTTTTTGTCTCATTATACTGACTTTTTATGCTTTAGAATACCATGGGTCTTATTATTTAATATATTATGATATTTCCTGAACAATACTATTACATATTACTAACATGTCAAAATAAGGAAACTGATCTTGTTGTAAAAGTCGTCAAATGACCCTCGTGTGCATGTTCTTGCACAAAAATTAATAACTACATCACCACAGTTTTGTTCAAAAAGGTACAATTTTAATCAATAGGTAAATTACTCAGCACAGTTAATTTGGAGATTTGAAAATGTAAATTGACAGAGAAAAAACCAAACCAAAAGTACAGAAAAAAACCTACAACAAACAAAAGGAGTTAAAATATGTACTAATCTAAAACAGCTTCACCTAATCAGAAACAATTTAATCCAGAAATACAAAATGTGACATCCTGTGAGTCAAAAGCAAAGATCAGAGTCAACTGTGTTTTAAATAAAAAGTAAAAAAGTAAAAGCAAATTCTTCTGTTGTCCAAACCTCTTCTCTTCAGTTTATTTTCTGCAACGTTACATTTTCTTCGAGGATTTTCCAATGAACAAAATTTCTTAAATAAATCACTTTAAGTATAAGAAATGTTTTCCATTTATTTTGAAAATGTTCTTTTCTTAATATATTTTTTTTATTTTTCACTTCTTTGCTTTGAACTTGACCGGAGACACAAAATGTGCCGGAGCGCATAAAAAAGGTTTATGATGATGATGAACACCTTTGAATTAATCTATACACACATTAATAAAAAAAAAAAAACAATTATGTATAAAACAGCTTTGTATGAAAACAAACCATGGTGATATGAAACTAATGAAAAAGGAACTTTTCAGTCGTTTCTGCTGAAGTTTTTTTCCCTTCGTCAAGTTTCACAGCAACATCAACTTTAATCTTCAGATCTTCATGTGATGAGCTGAGAAAAGAGATAAAATATGATCATGATGATGGTGTGTGTGTGTGTGTGTGTGTGTGTGTGTGTGTGTGTGTGTGTGTGTGTGTGTGTGTGTGTGTGTGTTCAGACACTCACAGATTTGACTGTTTGTTTGATGAAGTCTTTCTTGCTGGTTAGGTCGTGGCCTGGGAAAGTGTCATACACCTGAAACATGAGAGAAGAAGTTATTAATTTATTTAAAATTAAACTATATATATTTAGAACATATGACTCGATACGCTGCTACTGGCAGATCAAAGTATTTCCCACCCGCCGACAACATCATTACCGTTTAAAACAGGGTTTGTAGGTGTAAACAGGAAGCGGCATCTCACCCTCTGGCAGATCTGTTTCATGGTCATCTCCTCCAGGTTCGCCTCCTTCAGCAGACTCTGCACCGTCTCCTTCAGCTGCTTGTCAGTCGGCGCTTTCTTAATCATCTTGATGAGCGGCTCGTCGTCGTCCGAACTGTCCTCGGCTGCAGGAGAAAACAGGAGGAGAGAGAAAGAGTGGAGGCTGTGAATCACACAGACAAACAAACACATTCACACCTGCAGCTAATTAAGAGTTTCCAGTTCACCTGACCTCATCCTCTTCTTCCGGCACACACACACACCTGAGAGTTATTCTACATAGAAAGAAATGACTGTAGTGGGATATAAAATAAAACAAAGACTGAACTGAAAACAAAGTTATTTTATCTGTCTGAGAATTTAATTCCAAATTAATAAAACAACAAAACAAAATTCAGACTGTTTAGAAATCAACCTGGACTTTATCAAACATCACTTTCACCATGAATTATTCACATGACCTCCACCTTCTTCCATGTGTAATTATCACATTGCAATACTTTAAAGCTCACATTGACACTTTAAGTGTCGATAAGATGACAACGCTGTAGACAAACCTTCACCCAGAGCATTTACTTGTCATCAAGTGTGTGGAGATGATCTGTTTTAAAGAACCAAAATGACATTTTGAGCTTTTTCTCAACTTTATTTTGGTCACGACTCCCCCACACCTCGACCCAAGTACCTGTGTTCTGCCTAAACTCTAAAAAGATTTTCTTTTTTAGAAAAGACAAAAAAGTGACGGAAAAGGGAAAAAAGAAAACATTAATACATAACTTCCAAAAGAATCCAAAATTTATATACAGTACATCAGGGTTTTTTTCTTTTCTTTCTTCCTCTCAATTAGTCAAAATATAAATCTATTGCAAGAACAAAAAGCTTTCAGTTGTTTGTCGTGTATGTTGTAATGTCATGTCACTTTCATTGTCTTGCTTGGAATTTTGAAAAACAAATAAACACTTTATTTTGGTCACATGATTCACAATCAGCATCTAAAAGCTCCGACTGAAAAACTAGTATCACTAAGCTTCACAGTTATTGATTAGAATGAAGTCGTGATGCATCTGTATTTCTCTGAGCAGCTCTGGTTTCAGGGACCTCACCTGTGTTTGTGTTATTCTTGCTGTTGCTGCTGCTGTCAGCCTTCTTTGTTTTGGCAGCTGGTTTGGAAGGAGCCGATTTCTTCTTCTTGGGTTGGAAAATGACAAATAAACAGTTTATTAACAACAACAACAACAACAGTCATCAGCTACATGTTGGATTACATTAAACTGAAATCATCTGCTACAGTGGCTGACATCAGTGCAGAGCAGAAAAAAGTGGTTTTAAATGTGAATCAGATATTGGATTTATTCATCACCGGTTGGTTAAACGGTAAAAGATGACGCAACACAACGTCTATGTTTTTCATAATAAGAGCGTTTCTTCTGACAAGGCACAGAACTGGAAAATGTAAGTAAATTTGATGTTTGAGCAGTAAATTAAAGAGATAATTCAAATTATTGGAACAAAATCAAACTTGTTTTTGTTACGATTCATCACATGAAGAGAAAGTCACTGCAGGACTTTAAACATGCTGAGCAGATCTTCACCTTCTCGTCGGTGTCACTGTCGTCGTCGGAATCCGACTTGTCTGAAACATCTTTCTTCGCCCTCTTCTTCGGAGGACCCGTCTTCTTCGCTGGTGTCCTTTGTCTTTTCACCGGTGCTGATTTCTTGGACGCAGACTTCCCTCGGCCCGACTTTGATTTTGGAGACTGACACAAAAAAAAATTTAGTTAAAAACTGAATGAAAATGAGAAAGCACAAGTTGTTTTGTTTTTTATCCACTACAGAGCTCATTGTTTTTTCAGTTTGTTTTTCTTTAACAAAACATTTTATTTTAGAGCTGCAATTAACAATTGATTTCATTATTGATTAATCTACTGACTATTTTCTCATTTAGAAAAGAAAAAGGCAGACGACACCCCCACATGTTCTGTTTGTCCAAATAAACAAAGATATTTACTTTATTGTCACATAAACAAAAATTATTTTATTTGAAAATGTATTAAATGATTAAATCAATTATCACAATATTTGGTGATTAATCTTCTGTGGATTAACTGATCAATTTATCTACAAATCGTTTCAGCTCCAGTTGGTTTATTTGTGGTTTTACCAGAAAAACTAGTTTCCAGTTTTGTGACCGACAGTCTCACCTCATCTTCATCGTCATCTTCTTCCTCGTCCTCCTCCTCGTCTGCAGACTGCTCTGACCTGTCAGACTGGTCCTCCTCCTTTTCTGAAGGCTTCTCCTCTGTGTCCGACCCCTCTGCCTCCGCTGAAGTCCCCGCCTTCTCATCTTCCTCATCATCGTCCTCGTCACTGCTGGAGTCCATGACGATGGCTTTGGACTTGCTTCCTGTTTTGGACTTTTTGGGACTCGACGACGAGCTCCTGGGTTTGGATTTACTCTTCTTCTTGGTCTTTGTCTGCGAGTCGTCGCCAGACAGTTTCTTCTTAGATTTCCTCTTCTTCTTCACAGGGACGCGCTGCCGGAGGACAAACACAGGATTCAGTTTCTACAGTGAAGCTGATGAGAAACAGCTACTCACGTAAACAGTGAAATGTAAATGTATTTAAACCTGCAAATAATTACACAAATAATCTGGGATAAACACAAACTAGTAATCACAACACAACAAGTAATCAACTAGGGACAAAATAACAGTAAACTACTTTTCTGCATTAATTACATTCACGAATGTCACGTTCACCTTCCCGCTGTTCTTTGGTGCGATGAGGAAATGCATGATCCTGTTGACCAGGTCTAAGTGAGTTCCTTTCTTCTCCAGGTCCAAAACGCCACAGACCACCTTCAGCTTAGCGTTGGTGAAATTTGAATTTCTGCATCAAAAAAACACAGAGAAGAAAGTCCTTATTGTTGATCTTCATCACAGACATCTTTTCATCTTTGAGAACCTTCAGTGTGACCGAGCTGAGAAACTTCAAAACTACAGAAGTTTAACTCAGAGAGAGTTTTAGGATGACAGTTGATATTTACACAGTATGAAAAACATGAGGAGGTTCCAGCAGTTTTTTGAAAACTTACTGCAATCAAATGTAAAACCACTGAGGAGAAACGAGAATTAGTAAATAAGTTCTTTTTTTTTCAATTCCAGGAGAAAAATATGAGAAAATGGGAAATTTTTATCTTAGTAACCAAAATACTGAAGTAGTTCTACATGAATTTAAGCACAATAGTCCATTATATGACCTCAACTCTACAAATACAAACAGAAGTCATTATTATACTTCAAAACTACTGACTGTGTCTCTGTAAAGAACCACTACTACTTTGAATCTGGTTCCACAAGATGACTGAGAGGACAGAAGAGACAGAAGAGACAGAGGAGGACAGAAGAGGAAAGATGAGACAGAGGAGGACAGAGGAGGACAGAAGAGGAAAGAAGAGGACAGAAGAGGACAGAAGAGACAGAGGAGGACAGAAGAGGAAAGAGGAGACAGAAGAGGAAAGATGAGACAGAGGAGACAGAGTCTGTGTCCAGAATCTTACTTGAGGAGTTTTTCTCGTTTCTTGCTGTACTGTTCACTGTTGGCATCAAAAGGAAATCCGTTGAACAGACGCAGGTTCTTCTTTATCGTGGCAATCTGTTAAAGAGTGAAAGGATCATCTGAAGTGTTAATAGTTACAGTTATCAGCTTCACTGCAAATACATGTATATACACTGTAATTTTCACATTTGTGTCGTGTTGTTTACAGCAGAGGTGACGTCACCAAATTATTATTAAAAAGAAGAACTACCTGTCGACCTGAACCACTGCACACTGTCATTCTACTGTACAAACAGACTCTTCTCTGAGGCTGCTGCTCATGTTCAGTGATCTTGGTAATAAGAGATCAGGAAATATGGACTCAATCATTAAACTTCACCGTCACTGACTGAATCTCTCGGTGTTGACTCATCTGAGAATTAACCCTGCAGAATGGGACTGTTTAAGTTTTACACATGAAACAAACAGATGTTACTGCTTCTGACTAAAGTGGAAATTCAACATTGCTGTGTATTTCTCTTCACAGTATTTATCACTACAAAACTTCCAGTGGTACAGTACTAAATGTTGCCTCCTTAGCCACAATGCTAATGTTGCTAGCAGCAGCTCACTATGTTTCTATGACTTATTCAAACCTATAAACATGACTCTTTCTTTCCAGATTTGTTGGGAAATATTAAACATTTCTGTGTGAGGAATCTGATTTTACAAATGTACAAAAGGAACAACAACCTCAGCCTCAAAACACCTAAGTTCAAACATGTTATATGTGATTGTTTCCCTCGTTATGATTTTTAATGTGACATAAGAACTTTTTGCCCAAAGGTTAAGAAGTTATTCTGGAGCGCTGCAGATGTTCGTACCTTTCCTGGTCTGTTGAACAGGATGATGTGCAGAGGTTTCAGGTCAGCTGGTTTCATCTTGGTGATCTGGGAGCTGGTGCGAGGAATGTCTTTTAATTTATCTCCGCTGCCTGAAAAGAAGGGAAATTAACAAACCAACAGTTTTCATAGACATATCAGCAAATACCTGGACAAATACCTGGACAGCTCATCTTTAAATAACAAATATTCATATCCAGGAATCTTGTGCTTAAAATGAAACAAAAAAATCTTGCCAAGTTAAATATTTACCATCTCCAATCTTGATCTTCTCCATTTGTTTGGGCGCCTGGAAATCGAGCCTCTCGACTGTCTTCTTCGTCCGTTTGCCTTCCAGGATTTCACCTACAACTGCAACAACAGAGAGAGAATGAAACAAAAAATAAACCAGAATTACTGGTTTCTGTCAGTCAACAACTCAACAGTGGATGAACAGTGAAATCCTTTTCCTACAAGTATCTCCGATGTAAACAATGCAGCAACCACTTTTAATGAACTGAAGTCAACAGCTCTGGAATAGTAACAGTAAAACATATTGAACCACAGCTTGTAAACTATGACAACCAGGATTTAACCAATATAAAGGGCAAAACGCAGTTTGAAAGCATGTTAACCTGTCAGACATGGTGTGTGTTAAAGTGACCAAAGAAGAATTTGACCAGTGTTACTTCAGTTCCTGGCTTAAAGACTGAACCGAGGGAGTAAACCCGTTTCCCTTTACCGGGTATTTTGTTGCGGCTTTTTGGACTCGTCTGGTCTTCCACTTCCTCCTCCGACACTGCAGAGCTGTCCATCGCTTCCTCCGCCATATTGGTCATATCTGCACTGCCTCAGTCTGTCTGTGTATCAGTCTGTCCTGATGGGAGGAAGATGTTTACATCAGCCAACAAATACATACACAAGCATGCAACACAATCCAAGTTAAGTGTTTATAGAGCCTTTTATCCAGTTATATCCAGATGTGAATTAAGAACACCACCACTGATTTCACTGACATGCACAGAAATAATAACATTAGTTCTCTCTTATGTTTTTCCTGTTATCTTATTAAAGCATTCAGACTGAATAAAAGTTTATACTATCTTTCCATTTCAGTCTGTACAGGTGTGTCAGGTTACCTGTCACACATCTGCAGTGAGTGAACTGTGTTTAGTGTTTGACTTTTAGTTAACCTGAGTTATTAGTTAAACAACATTAGGTCAAAACTCTAGTCAGAAAACAGCCAATTTAACAAACACTCACCTAAAAACTTAAAATAGTGTTGTCTGACAAAATTGCCTTGACTCAATTTCCACTTATTAGCATTTTCCAGATCCATCAGCAGCATCTCAGTCTTTATTAGCCCATTAATTACAGTTGAAAGCTCAGGAAAAGCTTCTAAATGCACCTAGAGTTAAGATTGTTTGTTTTGTTTTTTTTTACCAAACTAATATTTTCAAAGTCAAGAATCCTGCACAGTCTAAACAAAAACATTATTATTATTATTATTTGATGCAGGATTATTAAACTGTTTTTTTGTTGTTGTTTTTTTTAACTTTGCATATTGGACAGCAGATGATAAGTATCTGGTGCATATATGATCCCCACTGACTCCTGTGTATCACCAAAAAGTCACAGTTTGCTCTACTTGTTATGGTAACAAAGGTTGTAATTTCACTTCAGTAAATATAGTTTGGTGTGTTAGGCCTATGCTGAACTATAGTTCTGATTCTAATAACTCGTTAAGTCTTAAAATAAAGTATTGTTAGCTGGTGTTTTACTATGTAGTTGCTTTTGTCCATAAAAACGACAGAATTCTCAATAGAGTCTGGCAGCTTCCGCGGATGCAATTAGCCCTGACAGCTGAGGTCGAGTCTCACCGTGATTCCACTTAATATAAGCCAAATTTTTATCTTCATTCAATCCAACTAACATCTGTGAATGGACCATGAGTCCTGGAGCTTTCTATGACTCTCAGGAAATATTCGGCTTACGATTCCTACTTCACTTGTCGTCCATACTGGTCAGGCTGATGCTGATTTGTATCTTTATTCCTTCACAATAAATGTCCCTGCTGATTGGCGCGCTGTAACTTTGCATCCCGCATTTCAAACATGTTAGCTACAGCGCGTTAGCTACAGCGCGTTAGCCCGCGATAAGACTCGGGTATAAACTACAACTTTCCCCTTCGCCTCTGTGCTACTTCGGTGCCTGCTAGTTAGTTGCTGGTTTTTATCCATTCGCTGGTGAGTTTAAAAGGCAAAGCAGACGTTAATGTTTACCGGTAGAGAGCTCCGTGCAGCTAGCCTGACTGTCTGCTAGCACCGACGTTAGCAGTAATAATGTTAGTGACGTTCACTCACAGCTGTACTGTAATTCAGAGAGAAACAGCGTTATGGAGCTTTTATAACCTGATGTAGCGATGCAACAAACTCCGTATAAATGTCCCCAAACATCCGGAGTCTCTGCACCTTACGTTAGGCGACGGAAAAACAAAAGTTTACCTCGCCATGAACCTGAGAACTGCGTCTTATCTGTTAGCTTCTTGTTTTTGATTTCATGATGGCGGTTTCTCAGGGGGGCGGGGATTAGTGCCACAGCTAGTCCACTGATTGGACTACGAACTGATGACGCTACACTTCTTCATGTTGTTACTGACGGATCGAAGCCCGTTAACTTTGTAGTACCTCCCCCTTCTGTTTATAGTGTCAACATAGCAGCCTTGCGGAAATGGCAAATACAAGGTAAAAATGTTTTTAAAAATTTAAAAAAAAATAATAATTAAAAAAAAAATTACTGCCATTACAAGTTAAAATTGTTAATCAAAAATCTGTTTTGTGTTTTTAACAAATTGAAATTATGGTATCAAAAGTAAAAGTACACATTCTGCATTAAAATGTCCACACCTAATTCTAGACTGTTAATACTGATTAATCAGAATCAGAATCAGAATCAGAATCTGGTTTATTGCTGAGAAGGTTTTCAACATACAAGGAATTTGTTTTGGTATTTATGTGCACATCAATAAACACAGTAAGAAATATAAACAAAGATGAAACAAGCAAGTACTACAGGTCAGATATCTGAAATATAAACAGAAAAAGTTTTACAATAAGATAGAATATTTATGATAAAATGTGAAGAAATATTATAGAAAGATATAAATATATACAATACGAATACAACCACTGTTTCAGCAGAATTTTACTGTTGTAACTGTTTGAAGTTGAGCTGGTTTATACAGTTAATTTAGACTAGTGGTTCCCAATCTAGGGGCTGGGCCCCTACAAAGGGTCACCAGAAAAACCGGAGGGGTCGTGAGATCATTAAAGAGAGAGGAAAGAATAACTCACAAATCTGTTTTCATTTTTTTTTTTTTTTTATAATCGTTGCTTTATTGTGAAATATTGGAATATCTCACCTCAGCACCCAGGGGTGTATTCTATTTACTTAGAATATGTAGAGATATACAATAATACAAAAATATGTTTTATTATGTATAAAACAGTGCAGTACTGTAGGATATATATATATAAAAGAGGAAGATTACTCAAATGCTATGTATATACATCCATCTTGTATATCTTTCCCCACCGCCCAAGTGTGTTACATTCATATCTACATTTGTTGTGTTAAGAAATGACATATTACAATTTTATTGTTCATTGTAAATATGCAGGCTACGCTAATGTTAACTACTAAACCGGAACCCGTTGCCAGGGTGACAGTAAACAGTCGTGTTGCAGACCGAGGGAATGAGAGCAGGGTTCTGATATTCCATACTCACGAAGACTCATTGTAAATAGAGCACATTTCATATCCATCCAACCTGTAAAGAGATACCTGGTGTAATTTCTTTACCATTGAGTTTATTGTAATCATTCAGTCTATTTGCATAATTTGTATTTTCTACATGTATGCTATAATCAGTTGGCAGTTATCTTCATTTGTCCTGTAGTCACTGGAGCAGCCCACTCATCTCTTACAGGTGGTAATAGTAAGGAATATTTCATAATGCACAATATATACTAAATAAGTGAAAGAAAGGTTACAAGATTCATGTATTTATCATTTGACACAGGGTTGTCTAACAAGATGAGACTCCACCATTAAAAATATTTTTATTTTTATGAGATCTTATTTATTAACTCATTTACAGTAAATCATTTTGTTTTGTTGAATAGAATAAAGGGAACGGCAACTAGCACTTCTCCATATACAATGTTATAAATATCCAGTCAGAGATGATTTAAAATAAAGATCAATATTAACATAGATAATAACATTGTTAATGTTGAGACGTTAGACTCAGTGTTATATTTTAGAAAAGATGCTTATTCAGAAAGAATAAATTAAAATCATCATGCAAACAAACACTATACAAAAAGATGTCATTGTAAATGTGCATTTAATGACATTTTACAATTTTTCTTAGAGTTATCGTGCATGAATACAAGTGTACACAGTATACATTACACCTCATCCTAGAGAAACTCCCTGGTGGGAAGCACCTGTTGGGAAAGAATACTAAGAGATGTCTGTTTGACGGATCAATCAGTTAGACATACAGTGCATTCAGAAAATGTTCAGGCACTTTCTTTTTTACGTTTTCTTATTTATTATTGTTTTGTTGAAATTGTTTAATTCATTCATCAACGTACAATGCCAGCTAGCAGCTTCCTAATGCTAATGCTAATGCAGCTAACTTCCCCACAGTGGGCCATGTGCCCAGCCAGCAAGCTAGCTGCATGGGGAAGGCTAGCTTGCCCACAATGTAAAAAGAAAATCCTAATTTTTTTAATTGTGAACAAAAGTCAATAAAATGACAGAAATCTGTGAATTAACAGCCAAAATTCTATTTTAAGCATTATGCAAATAATAATGAATTACATTTATTTCCCATTTTTGTAAAGAAAAATTACTGTATTATTTATACAGTATTTTTTCTGCTTTCTTAAATTACATACAAATCTATGTAAAATGACTAATTATCTAAAAATGTAGCTTGTTATTATAAAGGTTAATGTCCATACTAACAATTTAAAGATTTTCTCTGTAATTTCAGGGTAAATCTTATTAGTTTTACATTTATGTGACTTCTACATTCAAACTTCGTAATTCTGGATGAAATGTATCAAACTTTTTTTCATCACATTAAACATTCAAACTTCAAACGAAAAAGGTTTGAAGTACTGAAATGTATCCCAGCATGCACTGGAAGGAAAGCAGGAAAATGGTTTATCACACAACAACACACACACACACACACACATTCAAACCTATGGACAATTTAGAGTCATCAATTAATTAAATGTGCATGTCTTTGTTCTAGTAATCAGAGTCCCTGGAGGAAACACAAGGAGTTGAAGTTAGCATGTGTGCTAACGTTAAACTGTAAAACCACAGTGTAAAATGTATTCTAACACTAAGACTGATGATGAATAAAGGCTCCTGGACTTTTTGCACCTTCCCTCCATCACTTATGGATGGCTGCAACAGCTTCCAGTCAACCTGTCAGACTGTTGCACTGTCCTCACTGAGCTATGAAGTATTATTTTTACATTTCTACTGTAATTTATACGTGTTACTAAATAAGATTTATCCACCTCTTTATTATGCAAACTTGTCTTGTGACAGTGAAGTTCACCTGTACTTCCATTCACAACTGTATTCTAGTTTTAATTTGTCAATTAGTTGATTGTAAATTGTTGAAATTAATGCAGTTTTAATGTGAAATAAAGTTTTTTATGAAGCTTTGCTTTGTTGATGGTTTTTATGGAGCGTGTCTGTTATGAATTTTAACAGTAGCAGCAGCACAGTATAAAAATCACAACACATTGAAGTTTCTCCTGAATCTGTAATTAACGAAAGACTTTCTATGTTGCTTTAATCAACAACAAACATGATAGAAATGTGTGATATATTGTTTTCTCAACTGATGCCCATCCATCCACTGTACCACAGCACATGATGTGTATTACAACTAAGCTAATAACTAAGCGAATAATGTATTTTCAGATATCTGTGATCATCTAATCAGAGTGCTGTTTCTTTTGTCTTTTTCTCTGTACTCTACAATGTGATATCGATATGATTTCTCTCTATTATAATGTGTTTTTCCATCCAGCCAAGGTCTGGATCTTTGGTGACACCTACAACCTCTTGCAGAGATCATGGAGGCCCTGCACCACCTCCACCTGCAGTTTCCACACATGATCTTCTCTTCCCAAACAGAGACACAGTGTTTTATATGATTATATATTATTTTTTTTAATGTAACACTTGTGGCCATAACATTGTTCAGTCTGATCAGCTCTGCTCTTCCTTGTTCCCTACACCCTCACTGTCGTATTACACTCTCTGCCCCGTGTCAGACATACAATCACATGACTTCTGGACTCCACTGTAGCTGTAACAAACTGTCAATAATTTAAAACATTAGAGTTCATATTTCATAGTCTTCAGCCATTATAGTTAATATCAGTGTGCTGTTCCAACAGCATCACTTATTTAGAGGGAGATTGTTACTGGAGCAAATAAATATGAACTGTCTCACACATTAGGACTCATGATGAATAATGATTATACTTGTTACTAAAGATTCTGTTGCGCTGTTGATTCAACTACTTCTTTTTATTAAGCAAACTTATATATGACAGAGAAATTCAGCTTTAACTTCATCCACAACTATTTTTAGATTTTAAATAGTTACAGATGATTGTAAATTGTACACTATAGTATTTAATTAATCAATTTATTATTCTTTTATACATGTTTCCAGTGTTGTAAATTGTTTAAATTAATGTAGTTTATAATGCTCAATGAAGTTATTTATGAAGCTCTTGCTTTAACTTTGTTGATGGTTTTTATAGAACACATCTGGTATGAATTTTCACAATAGTAACATGTACAGCAATGTCTGACTATTTCTATGTTAGCTTTAATCAACAACATAAATACTAGAAATATTTAAATGTTGTCCAACAACACTGACAATGAAGGATCAAAAAACATGCTGATGTTAATTGGTAAATACTTTCACCTGTGGAGGTGGTGACAGTGCTAGAGATGATCCATCACTTAATCACAGTTTAATATTTATAAATTCTGATCTTAAAAGTGTTGCTACCATCACCTGTCAACAACAGCAGAAATGAAGTTGCAGGTAAGAAACTGAACCTGTGAATACTGAAGACAGAGAATAATAAACAAACTCATCAGCAGTTAGTCTGTCATTTCATCAGAGGAAGCTGAACTGGGAGAGGTTTTCTAGCATCATCATCACAGCACATTAGAGAACTAAGGATGTCCATGCAGTCTCCCTTCTCCACAACCAGATGAATGGAAACAAATGGGCTGCTCTGTACACGAGGTCCTCCTTCTGTTGGCACAGATCACTCAGTTTTCACAGTGTGGAAACCTTTCAAATGACAATAAAACACAAACACTTGAGTTAAGATGCGGTGGATCACAGTTAATCACAAATATCGATCAGCTGTCAGGATAGGTGCATGAATGTCTGCTTCAGTTGAGAACTGGTTTGAGTATTAAATG